TGCTATATAGGAGCCAGACCCCATCCATCCTATTTTGTTTTGTTTTGTTTTGTTTTAGATTTTGTTGTTGTTCTGTCTTGTTTTAGGCAAGGTCTTGCTCTGTAGGTCAGACTGTTCTTGAACTAGTAATCCTGTTGCCTCAGCCTCCAGAGTGTTGGGATTATAGACAAGCATTATCACACTCTGTTAACCCCGTCCACCTTGAGCCCTCTATCTTTATCCCATGGAGCTCTAGGGGATTCAGTTTAAAAACCACTGAACTAGTCTATCTTGGATCCAGTGTAGCCTGGCCAGTGGGCAGGTGTTAGGCATTAATTTATAAGCTGGGCATGGTTGGCATGCCTGTAACCCAGCACTGAGGAAATGGAGGCAGGAGAGCCAGGAGTTCAAGGTCATCCTTTGTTTCATATCTGGAAGCCAGCCTGAGCTAACAATAAAATAAAAACCAGCAACAAAAAAAGGCATTAATTTATAATAAAGAAGTCTTTTCCCCAAGCTTTCAAAGGTGGAAAATTAAGAACTATTTTCTTACCTCTTACTACAGAAGAGAGCCTCTCCTGTGAGGTAATTAGCCAGAAGAATCTGTCCACTTATTAGAGTTGTGTGTGTGTGTGTGTGTATGTGTGATGTGTATCAGTGTTTTGCCTACATGTATGTAAGTGTACCATGTGTATGCAGTGTCCATGAAGGCCAGAAGAGGGTGTCACATCCCCTTTGTACTGGAGTCACCAATGGTCGTTATTGCCATGTGGGTGCTGGGAACCAAACCTGGGCCCTCTGCAAGAACAGCCAGTGCTCTTAATTGCTGAGCCATCTTTCTGCCTCCCCCAACATCCCCCCTCACACACACACACATTTTTTTTCTTTACTCTTTGGAAACATCTTGTGTTTTTTAGCTCCTGGATGTCGTTTCTCAACTAGCCAAGCAGAATCTGCAATTGCTGGTCCTGGGCCGGAAGCACATGCTGGGACAGAGTTCTCAGTGGAGGAAGGATGAGATGGAGCAGGTGCAAGAGCAAGCCTACTGTTTTTTTGCTGATAACATGTAAGTATTAGAAGTAACAGATAAACTACACTAGATTCCGGTCATTTGGTTTTTAGTTATCTATTTTTTCATTTAAAATCATGTGTTGGACTGGAGAGATGGCTCAGCAGTTAAAAACGCATACTGCTGTTGCAGAAGACCTGAATTTGATTCCCAACACCCATGTCCGGTGGCTCACAACAGCCTGTAACTCCAGCTCCAGGGGGATTGGTGGGCACCTGCACTGCTGTGCACATACCCACACACAGGCATATACCCATAAACATCAATAAAAATAAAATAAATTTGAAATAAATAAATAAAATGTGAAGGGGTATACACAATCTCATTTAAAGCACCATAAAATTCTAAATTGATCATTTAGCAAATGCTCAACAAATACGAACACATATCTGCTCTTAGTGAAAGAGCAGTGAAGAAGACAAAGGCCCTGTCCTTTGAGATTCACAGACACAAGCAAGTCAGACAGCCTGTTCTAGGCAGGGAACATTGCTATGAAGATAAGAAGGCAGAGTGAAGGCAGAGAGGGTGAGGGTGGGAGTGCATCAAAGGGGAGTGTTTGGGTGGTCAGGAGACACCTTGAGAGCAAAGCCGATGGGAAGGAGTGAGTCATATTAGAAAGGGGGAGGAGTGTGGGAAGTTTTCCTCGCCTCATAGTATACCTCCCTCATAAAGGGAACGGCAAAGGTTCAAAAGGTTCTGGCACCGGAATAAGCTTGATATTTGTAAGGGAAAGTCAGAGGGCCAGTATAGATGGGTTAGGACAACAACTGGGAAGGTAATGTTCAGGGACTGGGGCTGCAGTTCGATTAGTACAGAGCTTGCCTAGCCTGCAGGCAGCTCTGAGTTCCATCCCTAGCACCACATAAAACCAGCCATGGTGATACCCACCTCTAGTCTCAGCACTATGGAGGTAGAAGCAAGAAGATTAGAAGTTCCAGGTCATCCTCAGCTGTATAGAGTTTAAGGCTAGCCTAGAGTACATGAGACCCTGTCTGAGAGAGGTGAGGGGGACGGAGGGAGGGTTTTTTTTTGGAAGGAAGGAAGGAAGGAAGGAAGGAAGGAAGGAAGGAAGGAAGGAAGGAAGGGAAATGTTTTGAAGTCAGAGAGAGGGAAGGAACCATGTTGCAGAAGGCTTCATGAGTCCTAGTAGACAAATAAAGGGCCTAGATTTTATTCTAAATATAAAGAAAAAATTGCTGTTGAGCTGCAGCTTCCAAAAAAGCCAAAGAAATGTGGAAAACATTAGTAACATGTACATGGTGATGCACAGTATTCATAAAGTAAAAAGGAATATTAGAAATCTTAACTGCATGTGTGACCCTTCAGTGTATTCTCAGGTTTTCATACTACTAAGGCTGACTAGAAGCTTATTCCCAACCTTGTATGGCTATAACTTTGCAGTGTGTGTGCCTCAGCTCTAAGACTATGGTTCATTAGTTCACATGCGATAGCTTCAAAGTTCATTAGTATTCCACAAAGCATTTATTTTTAGAAAGATATAATGGCTCTTGATGCATGAAGCAGGAGACCAACTCCTCATTCAGATGTCAGACTATACCCCTTTTTTCTTGAGCTGGGAGGAGGCACTTCCAACTCTTCAAGAGCAGAAAACCTAATCCTCTTGATGCGGTCACTTTATGCACATTAGCAAGCATTAGACATGTAGGCTTGGTTCAGATGGTAGACCCACCACTTTACCTGGAAAGGTGTTTCCTTTCTATGTCTTCCTGTCTTTATATGTAATCTTCATGGGGTTATTGTGAAGGCTAAATAAAACTTAAAACTAATACATAAAACCCAGCACCAAGCACATGAAAAGTTAGTTACTGTCATTGTTATTTTTCTCATATAGAATTGAATAAATAGTGTGTTATAACCAAGAACTTTCTGGCCTCACTGTTTACTTTGTGGCCTCTAAGTGCATCAGCTGAAGTCCTAAGTTCAACTATAAAAATTGAGTCGCTGATCTTCCGTGTCTGTTTTTAATATTAACTTTATTTTGAAAAGGCACCAAAGAAGTCTTTTCAAATATAAAAGCAAAAGAATGGTGTTGTGTATTATCACGATCCTCATATAAATGGCACCCTGCTCCAGCATGCTGCTCATCTTCTGTATGAAACTCCTGTGGGTGGTGGCAGTGGTGGTGGTGGTGGTGGTGGTAGTGGTGTTAGTTTTTGAGATAGGTCTCACTCTGTAACCCAAACTGACCTGGAATTCACGGCAAGCCTCCTGCCTCAGCCCTCCAAGTGCAGGAATTATAGGTGTTCTTGGAGATTTTTAAGGCAGTTTCCAATCATTCTGTCGTTTCACTTGAAAGACTTGCATATAAAGTGAGCTTTAAATAATTCTGTGTGGGGTATTTGAAGCAAGACATAAGGCATCTGTTGATATGAGTTATAGTCCTAAACTACACACATGCACACATAGTGCTAAGGCTGAAGGTCTGTTGTGCCCCTCAGTCATTGGCTCGTCTCAAAGTAGACATGCTTTCAATTGCTGATCTCTCTCTTTTTATCCTTTTCTGTGAGACTGGACATTGTTCATCTCAGGGCCGTGGGCCTACTGCTCTACACGGAGTTGCATCCTCAGCTCACAAGTATTGACCTCGACATGCACTCCAGCTTTGAGGGCAGCCAGTTATTTGATAATTTGCTAGACCAGGCGTCATCATCCTATGTAGTAGTACTTTGGATGTTTCTTGATTTGAGCAGAGAAAGGGGTAAAGTTGATACATTCTTTGGTAGCTGTGGCCAATAAGAAAAAATGCCAGAAAACAAACTTTTTCTTTCTTTTTTGGCATGCTGCATACTGGAGATGGAGCCCAGGGCCTAAGTGTTCTGCCACTGAGCTCTGCCCCTAGCATGAGAACGGACTTGTGAATGTGAAAAGGTTGTTAGAATTCTTTGTTATAGTGGAAGAACTCTGCTAAGCTGTGAAGTTCTAGGCTTTAGCTGTTCTCCCCTCAGCTTCCCATCTGAGTTCTAGATAGCTGTCTGCCAACCAAGGACTTTCAGGTGATTCAGAGGCACCGCCACAAAGTCAAAATATAAGTAAAAAGGTGATGAAAAAACTGTTCTCTCCATCCCAGAGTGTGTGTAAATCTGCTCTTTCTTATGCCTGGTTCAGCTCAGAGGATGATCCATTCCTTCTGTATGCCGCACTACACTCAGGGGATCATTGCAAGTTTATCACAAAAGATCTGATGCGGGACCACAAGGCCTGTCTGCCTGATGCCAGGACCCAGCGCCTGTTCTTTAAGTGGCAGCAGGGACATCAGCTGGCAATTTTGAAAGGATTTCCAAGATCAAAACTGACCTTTCAGGTATGATATCTGTTCTCCAATGTTAACAGAGTCTAGAGAAAGAATGGCATCACTTTCAAAAATGTCATGAGTTGAAATTTCCCTATCTCAAAAAGGCCAAAAAAAGATAGTAGTATTATTGATCTTAAAATTACAAAATAAATGACAGCATTTAGATGTATACATCCGAGTGGGCTGGATCAAGCAGGTGGGCAGGATGTAGATGAAATAAGATTAGACATGAATTAATAATGGCTGGAGATGGGTGATAGATACATGGGAGTTTGATATTATTTTTCTACTTTCAGTATTTAAAATTTTTCCACTTTCACATACAAAACCAGTAAACACAATGAAACAATTCTATAACTTGCAAATATGACATTCCTATAGAGAGCCCTTAACCTTAAAACGAACCCCCCCAACAAAAGAAAAAAATTTTACGTATTTAATTATTATTGTGAGGGCTGGAGAGATGGCTCAGTGGTTAGCAATGCTTTGGTACGCAGCCATGAGGATCTGAGTTCAGATCCCTGCACTCATGTAACAAGCTGGGTGTGGTGTTGCCCAAGCCTGTAACCTCAGCTCTGTGGGGGATGGAGACAGGACGATTGCCAGGGTTTGCTGGTTGCCAGCCTAGCCTAGGTTCAGACCCTGCCTCATAGGAGTAAGGTGGAGAGTGATAGAGGAGGACACTGGACGTCCTCCTGTGGCTTCTGCACCCACACAAACCAGTTGTACATACACCACACACAGACACGGACGGAAGGAAGGAAGGAAGGAAGGAAGGAAGGAAGGAAGGAAGGAAGGAAGGAAATCCGGTGTTAAATAAAACAGAATACGCCTCCTACAAAATTAAAAAGATTGAAAACAGAGTGGAATAGCAGATAACCCTCCGTTGTTCTCAATGTTCGATGCTCTGTTTAATTCAACAGAATATTCTTACCTATGACACAGTGGTGCAGACAACTGGAGACTCGTGGCACATACCTTATGATGAAGACCTGGTGGAAAGATACTCCTATGAAGTGCCAACCAAGTGGCTTTGTCTCCACCAAAAGACACAGATGCCTACCGTCTGCTGAATTGTATTTGGGGGCCCTCCTCCTTGGTATCAGAGCTCTTACATTCATGCTTTATTCCAGGGATTATCTCTGTCCTAAAAACAAAATGGTTTTGGTAACACCGTTTGGTCCAATTGTTTTAGATGTCAATAAAATGATTTTTCCAACTTTGTTTGGTTTCGTTTATGAGACGGGTTCTTGTTCTGTAGCCCCAGCTGGCCTTGATCCTCCTGAATGCTGAGATTCCAGGTATCCACCACCACACCTGATTTATGCCATGTCGGGGATGGACCCACGGCTTCATATATGCAAGGCAAGCACTGTACCATTTCAGCTACGGCCCCAGCCCAACAACTTGATTTTTCAAATTAAATGAGATGTAGTATCTTTTTATATCCAGCTGGATTTTCCCTCTAACATCTGTCTCTAGAGGCTTATCCAGAATCGGGGTATCCAGTTCAGAGTAAAGCTTATGTGTGTCCTGTTGGGCCAGCTTGGGTGATGGGCAGCACTTCTCTCCATTCTGATACTTCTGACTTGACCTTCCAAACTTACCAACTACTTCTGCTTTGTAATGTAAATTATAAATCCTTTCGCAGTGGTTTGAGTGAGAAACGTCCTCAGTAGGCATGTTTGAACTCTTGGTCGCCAATCCATGGTGCTCTTTGAGGCAGTTTAGGAGATGCAGCCTCACTGGAGGAAGTACGTCACTGAAGGCAGACTCTGAGGGCTCATAGCCTGGTTCCACTTCCAGTTTGCTGTCTGTCTTCCTGTGTATTTGGCATTGGAGATTCAAATTCCCAGCTTTGGGCTCCTGCCACCATGCCTGCTGTTTCTGCCGTGCCTCCTTGCCATGATGGACCATAAGCCCAAGTAAATTCATCCCTTTATAACTTGACTTCATCATGGTATTTTATCATAGCAACAAAAAAGTGACCAATACATCTTTCTAAAATGATTTACCATTTTGTGACACTTTTTTTCTTTTCAAGAAATGCGTTCCGCTATGCTTATATTACCACACCTGAGTTTCCTCCCTTTGAGTGGGCATTTAGTCCAATTAGGTAGCTGTTGATTGCCCCCAAGATAAGGGTGCCACTACTGCACCAATGACGTATGCTGTGCTGGCCTTTGATGTGGTTATTTGGTCTTGAAGCAGGTGTTGGATCATCTATTGATGTTTTCCCTTAGAACATTTATAATGCTCTCCAAAGCTATGAGAGCTAGCCTTTAGGGGAAGTGGTTGCAAGTTAGTTGTACCTCTATTGCTCCAAATCCTGTGTCCAAAGTATGCTGTGCTGGATAGCTTTAGTGTCAACTTGACACACCTGGGTTGAGGGAGCCTCAGTTGGGGAATTGCCTCTATTGAAGTGGCCTGTGGCCAT